TCCCATCTCACCACCGACACCCACCATGGCTGTCCTAGGCCTGTAGGATGGGCAGATGAGCCTGGGATACATGGTGGGAGGAGGGCAGGGGTGCACCATCTAAAGGCCATGGAAGTGATGGAGGAGCTTTATAGTCACATGTACAGAATCACTTCCAACACAAAGCTCACAGTTAGCTTGTTTGGGCTGAACACAGAGTGTGTTTAAAAGCCCTTGCTGCCTAGCACCATGTTGCCTAAGTACAACTGGAAAGTCTGGATACACTTGGTGAGTTTTGAGTTACTTACAGGCTACTATAATGGAATTGTTGATCAGTTAATATGTGTACAATACCATTTTTCAAAGACCAGCTTCAAACATTCACATGTTCCTTTTAAACTATGGATATAGTTGACATTTTAAGGATAAATAAAATGTATATTGGACTATCGTAGTGTTCAGCTGCTAAAGTCAGGCACACAGAGAGGCTAATTTACTAAAGGAGTTAGGATTTTCACACAATAAACTGTAACTATTTACTTAAGTTAAACAATCATATAAAAAGCAAATTCCTGTGTACCGATTTCATCTGCACATGAATAGATAATTTATTGTGTGAAGACTCTAATCCCCTTTAGTATATTAGCATCTCTATATTTATTGTTTAATTGTGTTTATTCATGTCATCATTAGGGATGTCATCATATGGGATGAGCTCAAGTATGGATCAAACCCAGTCCGAACCTAAGCTCCCCTGGATAAAGAAGTGCCAAGGGCGCTTCCACCCAATAAGCTGCAGGCCAGGCATTCCGCCCAGTAGCTACATGTAAACAAAAGGGCGGGATGCTTATGCTGATGTAATTTACCTGCTATGCCCACATAGCTATATCATATAATGCAGTATATCATGTACATATAATGTCAATGATGTCACTGCATTCTGCCAAATTGCCTATGTGAAGCTGTGGGCGGGGAATTCCCCACTCATTGCTGATATGGCGACATGGAACGAGCTTCCTTCTGTGTTCGGTCCAAACCTGAGCCCATTCCTAGTCATCATGCCAGCAAAAATTAGCAAGATCAGGTGAATTAAGTAGTGCCAAAGATCACCATTACCGCTCCTCTCATTTTTTGTTTAAATATATAAAATATTGATGTAAATAACCTTATCAATGAGTATAATTTGTAGTTGCCCATTACATGCTGGGGATCTGCTTGTGTAACACAACTGCTGTGCTTTACTTTTTCTAATCTAATTTACATAACTCAATTACCATGGTTAGACATCTGTTAAAGGTTTAGGATATACAGGTGAAACTCGAATAATTAGAATATCGTGCAAAAGTTCATTTATTTCACTAATGCAACTTAAAAATAAGTTAAAATATAACATACTGTAAGTGTTCAGTAAATACCATTGTGTGTTTAGCACCAGATGAAGGCTTCACATGTTTTCTATATAGTATTCATTTATTAAACATTTGCATATTTTACACCATGGTACCCCCTGGTCTAGAGTAATCATATGCTCAAAATCTATGATTCATTTCTTTAAATTACTTGATGGTAAGGAAACACCATGTTGTTGATGCAACTTTTGATTTATCTCAATATTTAGGGTTCTTTTGGGATTGGATTTGTTAGACATTTAGCAGATAATCTGGTCATAGTAATATTATTGTTATTTAGGAAGTGAACACACAGATTGCAGTTCAGGGAGTGTACAAATCTGTCGTTCCTCTGCGTGTAACATATGACCCAGCGATCTGATCCCTTTGTTCCACCATATGGGCAAGGTTTGCTAGGAAGTCAATGGGCTGACATGGTAGCATGTATTTGGTTAGCATCCAAGGAAGTTAACAGAGCAAAGGTATCATGAAAAAAAAATAACAGGTGAACAGACAGAGGGTACTACATGGTTTATGTGTCAGTAAAACATTTTTTTTTAAATTAAAGCAGATGATCTATTAGAGAGAGAGTGTGATGGACAGCATAGCAGTATGTGCAGTTAGCACAATCTGGGTGATGAGGATGAAATGTCTATAAAACCAGTATGTTTAAAAAATAAAAGGAAATAAGTGGTCTCACAAGGGGTTTCAATTTGCTTTTCAGTTATTGTTGTCTAGACAAGACAGACATTGAGCAGTCTCCACTTAGGGTAGTGTTTTCCACATCCTGAATTATTTTTCATCTCGATTGATTGGAAACTTTCAATGCAGTTGCCACGTGCAACATTGCTATTTTTTTATACAGCAATAAATTATCATAATGTAGTAGTAAATTAAATGCTGCCATTCTACTGCCTGGCTCACTGAGCGGCTTTATATACTTATTTATGTTTACTTATTTATGTTAACTAATGAGAGGTACAAATGAAGCCAATGCTTTAATGTTTAGAGCCATTCATGCAGGTTAGAGTAGTAATATATAGCTCTAATATGATAAGGATTAAAAATAAGTAAAATTATTCTATTCTTTTTTCCCAGCCTTCAATCACAGTTTTGTACCAACCATCTGAGCTTGCTGACTGAAAGTCTGCTGCCTTTCCTGACTCTCAGTAGTCGTGGATCTCAAAAAAGGCAACTGATATTTCTTTTTTAGTAGCTTATGGTCATTCTAGTGAGTGGTACTTTTCCTAAAAGTCAATCAGTTCTTGGACCAATCAGAGTGGCATACATTTTTAATTTCTTATATTAATATTTATCAGTAGTGGTGGTGAAGAAGTATATATCCCCTTTCCCCCCGCTATCTACAATCACTCCATTCCCCCGCTATCCACAATAACTCCATTCCTCTGCAATAAAAGTTTATTCCACAAGGTCAGCATAATTCAGAAAAAGCACACTTTTTTCCATTCACACTCATTATTCCCCATCAGAAGTTACACTTGCACTGCTGTCAAGTTCCTAAAACTCTTTGTCAATCACCTGAACTTTTTCCTAAAGTCAGTGCCATTTTGCAGAACCTCAGCAATATATTTCAGTACATTGTAATTGGTTTGTAATAGCAATCCACTTACAAGCCCTAAATTCGAAATTGTCCTAAACAATTTATCCTGCTGCTAAGTACCTTGATCCAGCAACAAGACATTTTCCTGCATTCTCGGGAAATCTAGATAATTTACAGTTTGTTTAACAGAATGTATAATGAAAACTAAGTAGCTTGAATTATAATATCATACCAATGTGACATCAATTTAAGGGACATATATCATCAGCTGACAACTCTGCTACAAGCAACTTTGTCTGAAAAATAACACTGTACAGTAAAGGGCTCCTTGCAAAGAATAGTCATCTCTTCTGCTGAATGTGCCGCCAATCTCTTCAGCAGTGAAGAAAAAATGCTGTCTGAAGAACCTGCAGAATCCAACACTTACAACAGTATGGATTTCCTGGTTTCCCCCAATGCATGCTGTGGCTCCAGAGACAGTATTGACAAAGAGGCAGGTGGATCAAAACACTAAATGCAGTAGAGGACCAGGTATCTGACACTTTTGAAGGCTTCAGCAGGATCTTCAGGTAGCATTTTCTCTTCAATACTGTAGAGGTCAGTGGCATAGGCAATGGGAGAGATGAGTATTCAATGTCTTTTTTTTTGCAGAGAGCCCTTTTTGGTAAAGTGATTTAGCAACAGAGTAAATGTAAGCAAATATATGACATTCTGCCCACAGCTTGATTTTTCTTAGTTTTAGGTAAATTTAGATAGAACTAAGTCACCTGCCAAGCCTTTACATCTACCTCCAGTTCTTTTTTGCTAGCCATGTTAAGAGTTGTGTTTCCGGTTTTCCCCTTTGCAGTTTACCCTGCATTTGTTCCTACCATGTACCTATTAAAGAAGAACATTATGCCATAATGTGTGTATTACTGGCCTTTACAGAAGATTCTTGAATGGAATATATAGAGAATGCTTTTTAGATAGAAGAACCAGGCAGTCACAGCACTATTGCAGACAGGAAAGATCTTCTTGATCAGGTCACGGACTTGGCTGAGAGGGAAATTTTGCCGAACTCAACTCAAAACTTAGCCAAACGTTTGGGTAGGGATCCACTTTAGTATATTTAATTCATACAGTACCAACATATTACAAAGTTGTCCGGAGTAAGCATTAAACAGTCATATACAAATACTTAAACTTACAAGAGCTAATTAAGTATGAAGGCTGTTTAACACACAGTATACTCTGGATACCCACAGGTGTAATCACAAGTATGTGGTAGAAGCTTATAAGAATAACATGTTCCATCCATAGTTCCATAACAGTGCTTTACCCCTGTGTAGCAATTATGCTGGCATGTAACAGCCATCACCACATGTAAAATACATGAATCTGAACCAATTTTTCAAGTATATAAATGATAAAGCTCACTGGCAGAATGACACAGTAAAGAGCGCTAGTGAATAGTTCACAGCGTCTCCTTTCCTCCACAGTCTTGCGTATTCTAAGCAGGTAGTGGCCCAATCAGAAACATAATTGCCAATCCACAATAAATCTGACAAATATGGGCAATCTTGGTAGGTCATGATTACCCATATCATTTAGGACAACAACAAAAAGTATCATACAACCATATGCCCAATGTGATGCTCAAACAAATGTATATTTTATCTTGGCTGTTTGACACAGACACCTCACAGCTTTGCATGGTGGTGCCACCCTATGCACTTGAAGATTATTAACAGAGAACTTAAGACATTTCTCTGACAATGTGTATAGGCACATTTATAACCAGTAGGTTTGTAGAGGGGCCCTGAACAGATATGCTGTGCTGGCACCATTTATTAAACATAACTTTATTAAGTTTATGAAATTCTAAAATCAGTTTAAAATACAATAAAAGACTGTATTTGGCCAGTGTTAATCCTGTATCATTATCCGGTCAAGCCCAAATAAGAACATATTCCCAAAACTCTTACCATTTTAAATGTTCACAGTCCTTTATTAGCAATCAGGGCTTTAAAATTACAATGTCATGAATTTTTGCAAAATAGAAAAAAAACTGTGATAGCAGTTTTATATATTACCTGTGGCATCCCAGGGGTGTCAAGCCAGATTTTGTATAAAAGTTCAACAGAGAGCCCATGTCTGCAAGGGAAAAAAATTAAGATAAGCACAGATCATTGTCCATCATATTGCATAAGCTAAGTCACCCTGCTATTCATTTAAAAGTTGAACCATCCACTGCTGGAATGCAGTGGATGCAGTACTGTAGAGATTTTCATAATTTCAGCCCTTGCACTTCTTTGCCACGTGTAGATCAGAGAAATCTTCACTTTTCAGTAATGGCCTACTGATTTAGCAACACATTTTGTCATTTAGGATGTTAAAGTTAAATGTACTGTATATTGTTTTTTTGGGGGAGCATTGTTATGAAATGTTATTCAATTCACTATATATTTTAAAGGCCAAAAAGAAAAACAATTTTTACATCACTTACATTGCTTTTCTGGTAAAAAGCACAGGCAAAGTTATTAACAAATAAAAAAGGTAGTAGTTTAGGCAGTCAAACTGGTAGAAGATCTTGGGCAGCTACACCCATCAGACAACTTCTCAAAATCAAATTGAGAGTGAGGGTACCATCACTGTGATCCAATCAGGCTCTATTATATCAAAAGGTCAATCTAAGGTGTTTCAGGCACTGGAGACTAGCATTTAATCATGATTTAATGACATACCGACATACTGCCTAATGAGCAGGCTTGAGTTGCATTGGTTGCAGTTGATGTTGTAAAGCTATAGGCTTTGGATACTAACTGCACTCTCTGTGGGGTGTAAAGGGGTGTCCAAAACATGACTGGCTAAACAGAATTGCAAATAATTTGACATGAAAGGTCCTAAAGATTTACTTTTGTATTTAGCGGTCTGGCTGGAAGTTTACTTTAGCCAACTTTAACTATAAGGCTATGCATATGCATCCTGGAAGTCATAGGGACATGTTAGATATTGTACATACCCTTGAAAGTGAACACTACAAGATAAAGATGTAGTAAACACAATTGCTTGTGCATTATTAATATCCTGATTGCAACAAAGAATCTGCGCTTTTGGAAAGTAATCTAAAAATCAAGTAATAATCCTAAAGCTGCTATGAGAGGTGTAAGGTGAAAGTGTAAAGTGTTGTCACAGCGCTAGAGGTTTGGAATAAATAAGAACATATGTGAATAAATATATGAATCAAGACGTGAGTGATACCCGGTGTGTAGGTCTTTCAAAAACTTGCCAATAATAAATATAAAATACCAAAAAGGATTGACAAAGTGCTGATGTGCAGACAATTAATATCCTGATCTCAGCTGTACTAAATTACAAACATCGCATCAGACTGCATTACTACTTAGGGTGAACTGGGTTCGCACCAAGCCCAGGGTAATCAATATTGGTGATGTCAGGATCCTCCCGCCCCTAAACGCAGGAAGCTGGCTAGGATGCAATACAGTGCATTCCAGCAGCTGACCTCTGTGGAACGCACTGTTTATGGTATGAACAAGCCCTGAGGCTTTTTTTCCTTTCTCTGGATCAACTGTGGACATAGGGTTCTGTTTATGGAGGTTTTCTATTTATTTATCCTTTGTTTTCTTCTATTGGTTGCATGTGTGACTTTTTTTCAGCATAACTATGACAGTTATCATAAAGGCTCTGTAAAATTGTAAGCTCTTGATTACGGCAGGTTTTCAGACATGGCAGAAAAACTGGATGACATGTGGAAGGAAGAAAACTGTCTGACATGTTCATTGTCAGACAGGATCGAACTCTGTCCTCAATATTCTGAAACCTTTGCATCAGTATTGTTAGAGCTGTTTAAGCAAAGTGCCGGATATTTTTACTAAAAACTGACAAGAAACATATCTTTTCAGACATCCACATCTTATTAGTCTTGAAGTATTTTGATAGTTGTGAAAAGAGCAATTGTAGTGTTCAGAGACAGACATAAATTCAGGTCAGACAATGTGTTCAGATAAACCAACAAAACAGATAAGTGATAACAGAAAATATCTGTAACACAAACACACAGTATGTACATATTAAAGGAGAACTATGAGGTTACTGCTTTTCCCCATAGTTCTCCTAAGGGTAACGGGAGGACACAAACTAGCGTCCTTCCGTCACCCAAAGCTCAGTATACCGGGAGCTACAGGTATACTGCTTTTCCCCATAGTTCTCCTAAGGGTAACGGGAGGACACAAACTAGCGTCCTTCCATCACCCAAAGCTCAGTATACCGGGAGCTCGCGGTATACTGAGACGGCGCAGCCGGAGCGGATCCTGACAATTATGTCTGGATCCACCCAGCTGCGTGAGTGACAGCTGGCTCTGCCTATCTAGAGGCAGAGCCAGCTGTACCCGCCCCCCCCCCGTCAGCGCTGGAGGATCGGACAGGGGAGGGGGGAATCCAGTCCCTCCCCTGTCTAAGCTCTCTGCCGTGACAGGATCGAGAAGTAAGCAAACACCGGTGTATGTTCGCTCACTTCCCGATCCACTGAGCCGACCTGTGACAGTTTCATTGTCACAGGTCGGCTCATGATGAGGCTGAGTGAAAATCACTTACCTCAAAATTTTCCCTTTAAGTACTATTATAAAAAGAACAAATGTTTGATTAGTTATAATTAGATACCCAGCACTGCTGTAAATCTGCTTTGCGTAACAACATATATAATACAAAGTGGTTATTCTGGCACTCTTGTATAGTTTGATATATGTTGCATTTTTCCATTAAATGAGGTCACCCTATTCAAATGAAAATAGGTACAGTGGACATTAATTAGAAAACTCTCATTGAGAAACAGCTCTCACCAATCCTGGTCAGGACACTATCTGCATGAAGTTGCATGTATTCCTCTGCTTGCGTGAGTTTCCTCCGGATAATCCGGTTTCCTCCCACACTCCAAAAGATATGCAGGTAGGTTAATTGGCTCTGGTCTAAATTGGCCTTGTTATATGTATGCATGTGAGATAGGGACCACAGAGGGTATGTAATACGAATAATATGTAAAAGCACTGCATACATTGTTGGCACTATATAAAAACCAGTAATAAATAAATATAAAAAACAAAAACAAATTTTGAGCACTACTAAACTGATTGCCTCACTTGCCAGAAATTCTCACAGTGAGGCACTGACGGAAATATATATCATTGGGACTACCCTGTGGATATCAATGTAGCCATTAAGTGGAACATTAGGAGAATATTCAGGAGACATTAACATTCAGGAGCTAAAGGCTTTGGCATTGTGTTTAAAGTAGAAGTACCATGATGTCACCTGTGATGATATTGGGACTTCCTGTCTCTCCAGAGACAGGAAGTCCCATGGCAACGCTAGCAATGCCCATGGCAGTGATGTAGGGGCCAGCAGGTCATTTTACTTTGATATTAAGCTTAAACAGTTTACACACACAGATTATTTCTTGTGTGGGTTGTGATGTAACATTGCAAGTAAAAAAGCTAAGCTAAATTAAAGCCTCTGCTTTGTCTCTCATTGCATTTAAAAGCATCCAGGGATGGAGCTGGGGAACAGAACTCTAGAAGCAGCATTCTAGAACAGCACTAAAATAGAGGTAGAATGCTTTTCTTTTAATACATCATTAATATAATTCTAATCAGTGCCGGATTTTCCACAAGGCCAACCGAGGCCTGGCCTTGGGGCAGCAGGGAGTAGAAGGGCAGCAAGGATGTGGAATTCCTATCTCCCGACGCCCTGGACATGCAGTTCTGGGCGCCAGGATTGTAGTTGTTTTCTAAATTTAGCCCTGCTTTGGGCAAGCAGAGCTAAATGTACAGCGGGGAAGCTGCCGCTTGTTCAGTACAAGTGATCTTATTGATGGTGCCAAGATCACTTGTATGCAGCCTGCAGGTCTGCCATTCTCCATAGGGGGGG